CCTAAATCCCTTTCCTCAAATGTTGAGTTTAGGACTCTATCAAATATTCTGTACTCTGCCCTTAGCGGCATTATGGGATGTGCGCCATCCGTGAATGGATATTATGTGTTTTCATGGTCAGCACTTTCACTAGGCAACAAGCGCTGCCTAGATGTGATCGCAGCCCAGCAGTCATCACATCCACCTTAACCTACAACCATCACGGCCATATCCGGTGGTATTTAAAGAGTTAGATGGTGAGAATGTCTGGTTCATGCTGTCATTCTGGTGGCTCTCCACAGTCTCTTTCTCTATTACTATCTACTCTATAGTGCTGATCTTTGCCAGTTTCCAGGGTATCCATGGAAAATTATTGATAATATTATCAATACATCTGTGTTAATTGGGAGTATGGATAACCCCATAATAATTTGTGTCATCTACCACTTTTACTACTGTGCTCTACTGGAAGTGCCAGAACTACCAGTGTTGCAAAGATTGAAACTGCAACTCGGCCCTTGAAAAGTGCAAGCATGGCACCATTAGTAAACTTACTGTGACAAAGTGCCCTTCACCACTTGTGCCTGGAGAGGACTACTTGCCAGCCTCTTGCCATGTGATTATGGTCCCTGAGAGATTTGGCCCCTTTAATACAGTATTTGGGCATATTGTATTTTATTATGCTGTTTCTGGCCCTTTAATTACTTTGGAGCAGTGCTGCAACTTTTAATTGGCACTTCGGATACAGCCGAAGTGCCAAAACAGTCGAAGTCGCCGCCATTCGACAAACGAACACGTGGCAGCAGCCATTTTAATTCAGCCGAACGCGGTCAGCGGTGTGTCCAGTCAAATCTATGAAACTGTTTTTCGGCTACCCAATTGCACAAACACCGCTGACCCGTACCTTCTACTTCACTTCGACACTGCGGCTGGAGACTAAGTCCCGTTCGAAGATTCGAACACTCATTCAAATGGGACTTAGACATTTTTTCAGTGTGAAATTGACTGACCGCACAGCCCAAATCTATGGAACTGTTTTGGGCCTGAAAATGTGCTTGCGGTTGGACATAAAGGACTTCCGACTAACTTTTTTTCAAAGTGAATTAAATTTAAAAAGGATTAACTTTATTGAGACATAAAACAATAAACAAACAGAATCGTATGAAATAATCTTTGATAAAATAATAAATAGTCTATAAAATGGTTTTATATATATATATAGGTATGGTTTTACTTATTTTACAGCTTTCATTTTTTTTATATGGGAGGTAGAACTAAGTTACAATTCCACTAGAAGAAGATAAAAAATGGAAGATTGGAGTAACCCTGTAAGAGAAACAGATTTTGGACACAAAATATAAATGTACAATTTAAAATAGTTTCAAATCTTTGTTTGTATTAATAACTGTTTTTGTAAAAGAATATCGAACATTTGTTATATTTATTACTGCTACAACACACAACTAGATCTGTCAGTCCTCTCGTATTCTATGCACGGTATGCAAGTTTTCCTTTAGTGATCATGTTGATTTTACAGGCCACATTCAATGTTTTCCCAAAATAGAAATTGCTTTCTGTTCAATACTGATGCTATCCAAGTAGAAATAATTGGATCAGTGTTGTGAAGATTTTTGAGTTATAGTTTTTGAGATACATAAAGAAAAAGCAAACAGAATCAATTTTTACACACTGCTTATTTTTGTAGTGACTTTTAAAACAGAATCGTTATAATGCTGCTTTTCAATATGTCCTTCTGATGAATCTTGTAAATGAATAAATTGCTGTTAGGTTAAGGCCATTGTGTGCATTGCTGCTATTTGAGTAGGCTTGATTTCTAACCCTGCATATTTGTCTCTCTCAAAAAAGAAAAAGAAAAAATAATACTAATGCAATAATTGTAACAATAATAAATAATTTTCTCTATGTCAAACAATACAATTTTGAGTTAGGTTTAATAGAGACGGTAAAATCAGAAGAAGTAAAATATTATATATATATATATATATATATATATATATAAAGTAAAAAGCAAAGAATATTACTTGCCTGAGAATAAGATTTATGAAAGTAGAAATTACATAAATACTTACTAATTCTGGTTCCTTTCTCTAGACTTTTCTCAATTCAATGAATCCCTTCATTAAAAATAAGTACCCAAATTTGCATTTTATATACAAACTCTTATCACATTTTCAATAAGTTTTATAAAATCAGTGAAGTAGTCAGTTTTATTCCTTACTCTTTATGTATCAAAGTATACATATTGATCAAAGACTTTTTAAGCTGCCTCAGTGAAATCTTTTAAAATGCTTAGTAGGGGCCTCTCTCTTGATTGCAAAGCACATACTAAAACGCACTCCGATTTGTGCTGATCAGGCTTGCTTATTTACTCCTAACATACAGAATAGTTCTTGGTTTGTTAGAACTGCTTGGTTTGCAAAGTAAACTGTGCCAACTGTGATTGGTTGAATAATGTGTATCTCCCTAGACTGAAAACCTATATATCCCCTTTGCTGAGGAATTAAATGAGAGGCTTGATTGAAATACATTGCATTGTCCTGTATGTGTTATTTCTAATTAGCCTTTTCCCAGCACTGCAGAGAGATAAGAGGAAAGCAGAAACTTGCTGAGAAATATCCAGCCTCACAATCAGTCCATAACAGATAAACAAGGATATGTGAGCCCTCCAAAATACAACTATCACCACTTAAGGCTGTACTCCAGAATGGCAACTACTTGACAAAACTGATATGGATCAGATAAATTATCCAGGGATCATTAAGACTGATATAAAATAACAATGGAACCAATCAGATATGAAATGCATAATACAAAATTTATTTACACATAGAATTATAAAATAACTGATAATGATACAGTTAAGATTAAATGTATCACACAAACAGCAATAATGTTATCCAGTACCAAGTCACAAAACAACAGTGTGGGGCCCCCTACACTGATGAAAAAATAGGTAATAGCTGGAACGGAAAGTGTGCACACAAAGATAAAAATAAAATAAAATAGACCATATCCAAACACATCCACTGATCCTGGGGGATGGAGCTCTTAAACCCGCCAAACGACCAGGTAAAGGGTGTTGCTATGAAAAATATATCCCCGAGCTAAACCACTCTAGGGGTATGTCAAAGCAACTTACCCTGGCCGCCCGACCTTGGTGTGAGGTTGGAGGAGCATGCCAACTCTTACCACGGGCTAGGGAGTGTGGGTCGTTCCAATCGCAGCAGTCACCGCAGCAGTTGCCGGACCATAACCGTAAACCGAGCAGGAGATGCAGACAAGACGGGAGGCAGAATGTCTAAGCGTTTTGTCCTCTTTGAAGGACTTTGTCAAGAATAAAGTCTGCTATCCTTAATGTGGGTATATATACCCTCCGTAAAAAGTGGTGACCATGGAATATCAATTAACAATAATTTCAGATCAGGCATATTGCCTAAACATACACATTTAAAAAAACACAAATACAAGATGCAATAAGTGTTGAATAATAAAAAAAAATAATAGAACAGACCCCCCAATCATACTAAATGTTGCACAATCATTCTTTGATAATTAAGGTTGGGTATAATCAATACCACGTAATAAACTTTAAAAATAAAAATAATTATAAACAACTACCACCACATCGGTGGCTTAATCTCCTCAATTAAAGAGACAAAATGAAACTGATAAAAAATAATAATAATGTGAGCAATAAACAATTCCAATTTTTGGATAATCTATATCCCCAATAAATTTATGAGAATGATCCTGTTAATAGGATAATTTTAAGTAAAAATGTGCATGTGACGTAATTCCTTAAATTCAAACACTTATAATAATAAATACCATATGATGTAATTCCCTATGGTGGAACACCTATGGGACAATAATAATAGATAAATGATAACAGAATTCTTTGTGTGTAAAACAAGAAAATATTTACATGTTAACCACCCTGGATGTACCTAATATATAAAAATATGGGGGTACATACTGGTTATAAGGAGGTCACTTATCTTCTCCTTAGGATCAATAAATTTATATAAAGACTTATGAAGTAGAACATCTCATGTTATAAACAACGATTCTCAATGCGTCAGAGTATCAATCAGACACAAAACTGGGTAACAGTCATACAATGATTATTAAAAATAAAATAAACTGGACTAATTTTAAGACCTATGTCCTCCTCCCTGTCCTACCACTCACAGGACTATAGGGAACCTATATTGTCAGAAGCAGACAGACAAATATTCTAAAGCACAAAAAGAATATGGAATTTCAACAAGGACTAGTATAAAGAAATATATAAATAGATAGCAGGTCGAACAATATGCTCCAATTCCTCATTTAACCCACAGGGGTTAAGTGTATTCAGTTTAAAAATCCACATGGTTTCGGTGTAATAAGTGCTAGTTTTCTATTATTAACTTCCTCTGGAATGTGTTCGATGCCCATCACAGATATGCAAGCAGGGTTACTCTCATGGACCATTTGGAAGTGTCTAGCCACCGGAGATTTCCTATCCTTATTAATGATAGCTAACCTATGCTCCCTAAATCTGGTATTCAGTGATCTAGAGGTTTGGCCTACATATAGTAGTCCACATAAACACGTTAACAAATAGAAGGAGTATTGCAAGTAATCCATGAGACTACTTTAAATGTCTCGTTATTTGAGGATGAATGAAAAACCAATCTCCCATGGCATAGATACTAGCATGTTAAGCATCGTGTTGAGCCACATTTGAAATTCCCAGCTCCAGAGGACACAGATGTATTATGGGATTCAACGGGGACGAGTTTGGAGGGAGCCAACAAATTCTTCAAGTTCACATTTTTCATGAAGGTAACCTTGGGTAATTCAGCAATGCTGAACTTCAGCCAAGGATCCAATAACAGAATCGGCCAGTGTTTATGAAGAATGGAAATAATTTGATCAAACACACTATTAAAAGTAGTGGTAAATATGGGACCTTTATTCTGGGCAACATCCCTAGTACTGATATTGAATTTATTTCAACGCTCTCTTCTTCTTCTGGGAACTTGATTTTCCAATAAAGATAAAATCTTCAAATGTTGGACCGATGGTGAAGGTGGTGTTGCTAGAGCCTCCTTCTTAATAAGAGAATTGATAAGGGAACTTCTATTAAGATTCCTCGCCTTCTGATACGCCCGATAGATAATATCCGGGTCATAATCCTTGTCCAGGAATCGTTGGCACAGATCCAAAGACTCTTCTTCAAAGTTCTCCAAAAGTGAACAGTTGCGGCATAATCTAATAAACTGGCCAAACAGGATATTATTGATCCACGTAGGATGGTGGCCACTAGTGGAATGTAAAAATCTGTTAACAGGTTAACCGGTTTCTTGAAGGTTTTAGTAAGAACACGGCCAGGTTGTCCACATAAAATTAAATCTAAAAATTCAATCACTGTCTTATTCTTATTGCTCGTAAAAGATAATCCCCATTCGTTGCTATTAGGGTATTGGACAAACTTCTCAGTGTCATCAAGATCACCTTTCCAAATAATGAGGATATCGTCAATAAAACTTTTATAGAGACCCAGAGTACAGAGTATAGAGTACATAAGTGGATTCCCAGAGACCCATAAAGATGTTAGCATAAGCTGGGGCAAAACTGGCCCCCATTGCAATACCTTTAACTTACAGGTAGAATTGCCCATTAAAACAAAAATAATTATGGGTTAAAATAAATAATATACTCTCCAAAATTGCCTCTGCTTGGCATAGGGGGAGAAGGGGATACTCCAAAAGAAAATGTTGGATTGCTTTCAGCCCTAAATTTTGGTCTATATTTGAATAGAGGGCTGACACATCGATGGCCAACCAACAATAATTCTCCTGCCAGGTGATATCCTACATCAATGATAGCACATGCCCCGTATCCTTAATATATGAAGGTAAATTTATCATGATCTTCTGAAGATGAATGTCCACCCATTTCGACAGGGGTGCTGTAAGGGAGCCAATTGATGAAATAATGGGTCTTCCCGGTGGGTTAATGAGCGACTTGTGTATCTTTGGGAGGAAATAAAATATTGGTATATTACCTCCACTGGAAAGAAGAAAACCTTTTTCAGATTTATCAATAACCCCCATATCGAACATCTTATTAACCCAGACTCGTAGGTCCTTAGTGTATTGAGTGGTGGGGTTGAATGTGAGGGTTTTATAGTAGGTCTGATCTTCCAGGATCCCATATGCTTCCTTAAAATAATCTTACCTATTGAGTAGGACAATCCCTCCCCCCTTATTCGCTCCCTTGATGATGATGTTGCAATCGTTTTTAAGGTCTTTTAATGCTACCATTTCCATGTTTGTAAGGTTATGATCTAACCTTCGATTATTATGCTTGATATTTAAACTAGAGACTAGGGATCTAAAGTCCTTCATAACCAGATCATAGAAAATGGGTATAAACCCACCTTTGTCAGCCACAGGATAATAAGTCGAGGGAGTCTTAAGGCTTGTAGTTATACTGGCATTCACAACCTCCAGGACATCAGTTTCAACCAGAGGTTCTGTTTGTTCATTAAGAAGACCTTTCAAAAAACTGGGACATTCGTTAATGCTGTTCGCGTCCTTGATATTAAAGGACCTAGTGAGTGTCAATTTCCTAATGAATATGTTAAGATCCCTAAATAAATCTAGGCTGTTCAGATTCCCAGAGGGAGCAAAACTCAAACCCTTATTAAGCAAGGAAATCTCTGGGGCTCTCAGTATATGGGTGGACAAGTTGAAAATTCCTACTAAGGGAGGCACCTCATTTTGTGAGGATTTGTATCCCTTTCCTCTTGTTCCCCTATGGGTGCATCTCTTTTCCTGTCGCCCATTTTGGAGAATAGCGGGAACGTCTTGGGGATATCTGAGGGACCCTCCCCTAAAAACCTGACATTGTTGGATTCATCCAGATCATGTACGCGTAGTATTTTCAGGCGTGCTCCCAATTCAATGGGACCTGTATTCACACCTGAATCATCAACCTGCTTTTTTGTGAAAAGGTCTCTTGGCCATTAGAGGGGAACATAGTTGGGATTATCCAACTATTATCCAACTATTAGTATTTGTGAGAATTAATCAGCATTTCTTTGAATACTGCTCTCTAAAAATGTCAGTAGAATGTAAAATGATATGTGTGGTGTTCATGATATACTAAACACAGTAACAATGAAGTACTTTATATTTTAGCTTGCAAATACTCCTGTAATATGCCCTGTATACTTAGAACCCCCTTTCCTCCCCCTGCCTGCTACATACATAGTTAAAATTTGACATAAACATGCTTAATGTTCTTACTGTATGTCCAGTCATAGTATATGAATTCAGTATTTTATAATCTGTATAGTAATGCTTTTAAATCAAGATAAATTATTTATCATCATGGAATATTTTGATGTAATGTGTGCTTTTTATTTGTTACTTTGTTCCCTCTTCCATATAAATTTAAATATATTCCATTCCATATAAATAAAAATATATTTAAAACAAAAAGATGAGATGGGAGTGAGGCTTTAAATTTCACTTTGTTTTGCTTATCTCTCTTGTGAAAATAAAACAGAACATGTTAAAAATAATAATGGGATCTACAAGAATATATCACTATTTTGTAAGTTGAACTGAAAATAATGTGGAATTGACGTCACACGTTTTGTACTTGTTATGTGACATTTTTACTTCACATGTAGCATTTTTATAACTGACGAGGCTGATGCTATTCACTGTCTGGTATATAGTAAAATAGTGTAACCATTGTTTGACACCACTTTTCTTCCCCCTACACTGCACTGCAGAACGTAGCTGTATAGGTTACGGTGTTTAAAGTGTTACTTTAATAGTGCATTAACTAAACTGAAAAGGACCTGCAAATGAAATACAGTCCATGTTATACTTTACATTGGAAGGGTCTGTAACATATTATTACTGGACCAAATAAGAAATGTAAGTTTAAGTTTAATAAAGATCTTGAGTTTATTCTTTGAGATAAATTAACATAAATGATACATTATCATTAAAAATAAAGGGTTAGGATTATTAAATGCAAAATGAGTGACATGACTTACTTTGACATTTACATATTTAATCTTTTTCAGTAGCTTTTTTTTTTTAGGATACACTACAAAATATAAGAAATCATTACAAAATCTAAGAAAATTTGTATTTTAGATAAAAACAGAAGAAATGTATTTTAGCTAACAGAGATGAAATCAAATAATTGAAATTAATGATTATAATGAGCCAAAATATGTTAATATAATAATGACTCATCCGATAATATCAAATGATTAAATGGATGAATAGATCTCAAAGATATATATTTTAATCAAGTTAGCTACAGCAATTGGTACATAGAAAATATGCCCACACCACAAAGCTGAAAAAATAATTGAAGAAAATTGTATGCTTATCTATCCATAGTTTGAAAATAATAATATTTCAGCCTAACTTCTCAAGCTCCAGTTAGCGAACTCATCTATCCCTTACAAAATTGAGCAAAAGGCTTTGACCAAATTCATATCAATGGTACTAATGCATACACAATGCAACCTTAGGCATCAATTAATAGAATAGAAAATTAAGCAGAAACATTCATATATAAGATAAAGCCAATGGCAGTATTCATTCACATGTGCAAGTTGTTCTTATCTTTTTTTACTAATTGGATTGTACTCATGAAAACCTTTGTTAAAGCTAATTGGAAAAAAATCCAAACCAACTAATCTTAAAGGAACACTATAGGGTTAGGAACACAAACATGTATTCCTCACCCTATAGTTTCAAAAATGACTATTTAGCCCCCTGGTTCCCTTGCCACCAAAATTTAGTAAAATCGTACCTTTATTCCAGTCTGTTGGTTCTGGGTCTGTCCCTGATCTGCCTCCTTGGCTGACATCATCAGAAGTGATGTAAAGAAAAAAAAGAAAAAAATGCTCAGACAGATCTTTGTCAATCTGGGTACAGGTCAAATGTTGCTGTGCACCTAGATGTTCCATTAACATCTGCCTGATAACTTTAACAGTGAGTGCCTGGGCATTTTTTTCCTTACATTGTGGGGAGTGCTGACCCTAACTCAATGAGCACCCTGTTTTTGGTTGAGTGCAGCCCTTATTCAGTTTTTTTTATCATCATCAGAAGTGATTACCTGAGCAAATCAGAATGCATTCCCGAAAGCATTGGCTTGGCTGAGAAAGTTTAGTGTATCCATGCAAAGGGTGAACACACTGAATGACAGTGCCACACACTGAACATCACTGCCCCAGGAAGCACCTCTACTAGCCATCTGAGGAGTGGCCACTGGAGATGTCCCTGGGCTGTAATGTAGACACTGCCTTTCTCTTAAAAAAACAGTGTTTGCAGCAAAAATCCTGCTGGGACTGACTATACTCAACAGAACAACTACAATACATTGTAGTTGTTCTGGTGACTATAGTATCCCTTTACGTCTGTGTAACTGGAAAAACTTCTAAAACAAGTGTGTCCCATGTGAAAAAAGGGAGTTGAAGATCTTAGTATAAGGAAGAAAACTCACCCATAACACCACCCCATGGCAATATATCCATAGGACCATAAGCTCCTGGTAAGATAATTCATCAACATTCATCATCTCCAAGTTCTTAAATATAAATATATATATATATATATTTGATTTAAAAGGTGTGGTGGACTTGCCCTAAACTTAAAAAAAATAAAAAAATAATGCTTACAGATTTAGGACTGAAACATTAAAACAAATGAAACAGCAACACAACTATTTAAAACAAAATCATAATAATAATAACAACAACAACAACAACAACAAGAATCAGACAATTCTAACAACTACTAATGACATAAACTAATATGATCTGTTCCAGATGACATCCTTTAACCAAACACTTCTTATTGACCCAAGTAATACAGATAATGAAGAGATTGCATTGATAACAATATGCATTTAAAACATTGTAATTAAAACAGTGCATTTTAAGTGTAAATCTGTGCCTCTTCTGAACCCATAGTATTCCAACAGAGTAAACCAGGAGAGTATATTGGCATCTGTCATGACCAGGGGAGTATACTCCCTGTTGAGTTGCATTAAACAGATACAATGTCAGGTGGCTTTTAAGTATCTACAGTGGAGATGATTTTTACCTGAACATATATGCATTTGTGAAGGTCATCCTATCAGTTAAATGTGCACCAATGCAACTTTATTGCAGTTGACAGATTTTGGCCCAATTAATATGCAGTATTTTTTGCATGCTCAAATCTCTACAGATTTTCCAAACATATTTTGCAGAATTCTGAATAATATTCACAATAATATCC